CCCCCGGAGGAGCTGGAGGGAAGTGTCTGGAGAGAGGGAAGTCTGGGCATCTTTGCTTAGACTGCTGCCCCCGCGACCCGGTTCCGGATAAGCGGAGGAAAATGGATGGATGGACGGAATTCACTTTAAAGGACAAAAACACAGATGTGTCTTCAGGCAAATGGCACTGATTTTTTTGTGGATAAACTCTGTAAGAAAATATAGTTTTCATAGCATAGTTTTTTTTTGCCTGAAAACATGTCTTGAGGAGATATTTAAAGAACAGAGAGAAAGGGTCTTTTTATCAATAAATCTTATGTTCAGACCTAATTCAAGAGTGTGTTAGTCTGTCTCTCAGCACTAACATCGTGTCAGTGGCTCTCAGTCCACTGAAGAAAAAAAACACCTCAAATAAATAAATTCAGTTATTTAAAAAAAACTCAGTCATTTCTTAAAACTGTTGCTCACTGCAGATTTTTTTAAGACAGTAGGTTTATATATTTTCTTACTGTATCCTATTTATTTGATCTAGTTTTTCTTTAATTATATTTTATGTGATTAGTTAAAAGGTTTTCATAATGATTTATTTTGATCTAATTGTCTTTTTCAGCCTAACTGTCTTTAATCTGTAAAGCACTTTGAATCACATGAACCTGAATGAAAGGTCCTAAATAAATAAAATGTGTTTGACTGATTGGTTGTTTGAGCTGTTGCTTGTAGGAAAATGTGCCAAACTGAATCTGCACTGTCTGCGTGTTGCTGTCAGCTCAAATCCTACATATAATAGCTTATAGTACAAATCCATAGTATTCTAAGTCTAAACAATCAAGTAAGTGAGGGATACATTAAACAAAGATCTTGCCTGTGGAGCTTGGGTCACCTGTGGTGGAGCTGGCTGAAGAGCTGGTGGTGAGATCTGAGGAAACTGCCGCTGAACAGGTGGAATCTGACAAGTCACAGCAAAAATAAGGATAAGAAACTGTCAAAGGCATCACACTGGGGCTGAACAGCAGAGAGGAGAAGAAACATTTTTAAACATTAAATAGCATGAAGTTAAAAGAAGAACTCTTCTAAGCGAAGCATTCAACAACAGGAGCACAACCAACCCGAGGGATACGAGGTTCATCAGGGGAATGATATTCTTCAGACAGACCGATCAGTCCAGCCAGTCCTCCTTCGCCATATGCCGACCAGATCATTGATACATTTCCGGTCTTCAGAGCCAAGCGAATCAGCAACCAGTGGTGATGCTTCCAGCCCTCCCACTGGATAGGGAGATCCATGAGGGTCCCCCCTCCTGGTTACATAAACAATCACAGTCGCTGTGATAACAGGTAGATACAGTATCAAGGCAGAGAGACAGAGAGGTCTTTCTGAAAGAGACAGACCAGACAGAGTCGCGTGCCGATGGAAAGTAGGTGTGACTTTCTCCTCCAGTGAAAGCGTAGATCCACGCTCCTGGCAGGCTCCACCTATCCCTCTATGGCGAATACTCTGGAAAATCTCAAATGACTTAGGGTGGAGGAAACGATAGTACAGCACCAACGCTATCACTCCTGGAGCGAGAGAGGAACAGGTACACAGAGGAGAGATGTGAGGAGGTCTGTGGGTGAAGATGTGCAAGTGTGTGAAGAGTGTATGACTCTAGACAAAAACAAGGAAATGTCACTGCAGACACACAAACATAGAGGTGAGGAAAATCAGACACAAACAAAGAGTAAATGTACAGAACTGTACAAAAGTCTCAGGCCACCATTAGATTCGTCGTTTTAGCAATGCTATGGTGACTATATAAATTTATTTCTCAATACTCCAGATGTGCTATTCAAGCTGTTCGAAAGAAACATAAAGAATCCAGAGGTCTTGAACAAAAACAGCAGTGGAAGACCAAGAAACCTGCCAAAATGTCAGGAGAACTATCTTAGAATTTCTTTTCTGACAGACCAGAGGAAATCCAGCAAGGACCTGGCTCAGCATCTGGCAGTGTCATCTAGATGCCAAGTTGATCCTTCCACAGTCCAAAGAAGATGGATCAGGAAAAGCTTTTGTGGTGAGACAGCAAGAAACCACTTTTTCAGGAGAGGGACAAGGAGAAAAGGCTGAGAAATGCAAGCGCTCACAAAGACTGGAGTGAAGATCAGTGGAAAAGAAGATTATGAAGTGATGAATCAGAGTTTGAAATGTTCTGGTCCACTAGTCAACAGTATGTGAGAAGAATTGCTGGAGAGAGGTGGAAGAATGAGTGTGAAACATGGTGGAGGGTCTGTCATGATTTCAGCACTTCAAGACAGTCTCCCCAAAATGCAGAGGGAGGTCACACTAAGTACTGGCTTTGGACTGTAGAAGCAATCTTGTTCTGGAAATTTTGTTTTTTAATATTGTGCACATATTTCCTATAATTTTTCATTACAGTGAAACTAATAGTGGCCCAAGACATTTGCACAGTACTGTATATATAGTTCTTATACAGTGTGGCTGTGCATCTAACCAATGAGGAAGCTGCAGAACACTGCAGCTGGGATGCCAACAGTATCCCAGGACACCATGGTGAATAACCAAGAGGAGGCCAGAAGGAGAAAAGCGTTCTCTACAAACATGGCCTGAGGAAGAAACAGAAGCAGGGTAAACTGTTTAGCTCTTCCACAATTTGTATCCCATATTGTTTCACATTTGGCTGTTACTGTACTGGTATTTAACTTTTATCTTAAAGATGACATTGATCATCAACTGGTGGACACAGTTCATTACAGAATCCCAAACTTAATTTTTTTTTGTGTTTCCATAATTTATATGTGATGTCATGTCTTTAATAAGGCAATAATCTCCCAACAAGATGCTGGCTTCTGACGTACCAGGTAGAACCCAGCCATGCGGTATCTCGACTGGCCGTACTTCACATTGAGGAAGAAAAAGATGTGAATGGCTCCCAGCACGAGGTTGAAGAGTCTCCATCGACTAGTTGAGCGTATGATGTCAGTCTGCTGCGACACCATCCAGAAGGTTGCACCCAACCAGTGCACACCTGTCATACACACACACACACACACACACACACACACACTTAAATACTGTGCTCCAGTATAGCTGGGTACCATTCCAAAGTTTATGATACCAGTACTGATACCAATACTTTAACTTCAATACCGGTTCCTAAATGATACTTTTTTTTATACCAATTTTATAATAGCAAGCTAACAAAAAATATACATACATTACACATTTTGGTACAGATCATTAGTTTTATTTTTCAATTCCTTGGCATTTTTGTGCACTCAAAGCAGTTTCATAACATAAAAACTAAACGCATTTACCATAGCCTTATGTTCTGTTAATATTAACATCAAAAAATACAAATGCAAAAAAGCATCTTTCAATACTTGCTATTTTTTGATACTCTGTGGTATTGAAGTGATTCAATCGATGCCATAAAAGTAACCAAGTTCAATACCAAGCACTATGCTCCAGTGTATACATAAACACGCTGACCATAAAAAATGTTGACTGTGAACCTGACAATAGGGGAGATGTCTTCACCACAACTCCCCCAAACCAAACCACTTATGTCCTTATCTGGCAGAAAACTGTCAAATTCAATAAATACGACTTGCCAATGACTCCCAGCACCCACTGGTTGAAGACGCGTGTGAAGAGCATGAGAACAGCAAATCGAGATCCCAACATACTGACCTGCCGACAGAGGAAATATATCTGTCTCATAAACAGTCACAAAACAGTTGCACACTCAAAAACTGACATATAAATATGCTTCTCATTTGCTCATTATACCGAGGGTGTAAGTTGTACATTGTTTAAATATGCCCACCCTCCACAGCAGTCGACAGAGAATGGCAGCAGGGGTCATTTGTAGGTGTCCTGGTCTGATGAGTAAACAGGCTCTGGCATAGAGGACCAGGGCCCAGGCAAGAGACAACACACACACTGCAAAACACACCGAGGCTGGAGGGGAAAGAAAAGAGAACAGAGGCAGAGTGGAAAAGAAATGTAAATAGCTCAGTTTTGTGGATATATTTTACCTCCTGCTGCTGCACTGTGACCAGAGGATGTGGAATGGAGTGCAACCATGGAGGACCACGTGAATGGAGTGGCTGTAAACCTACAATCAGCTGGCTGGCTGAAGCACGCTGGGGCAGTGAATGATCAGCTCATTAATGTCAGATTCCCCGAGAACACAGTACCTGTTTGTTTTGACGGCTTGAGGCCAGTGTGTTTGCCGCATGTGAAGTGTTGCGGGTTGGTGAGAGGAATCTAACGATCCATGATGTTATTTTCAGTACAAGGTTACCTGTGAGGAATGTATGTGGTCACCTATAATGTGAGGGATTTGCGGGGGAAGACGCAGCGACAACCGGTTGGATTTACTGACCTTGGAGCTACTTGAAAGGGAGTGATGTTTCCACTACTTGCTGGGACTTAACGGTAAGTTTAAAAAAAACATAATTTCACCCAATCCATCCATTTTAAATTAATTGCTAAATGTTATACTGAATCTCTCCCTTTACCTGGCGATTTGAGCCCAATGTCGGTGCAGATGAGAACATAGGTCTGCAGCAGCGTCTCAGGGAGGGTGACCACCAACGCTTCAAACAGTCGTAAGGCAGAGACATCAGCCTGCTGCATGATCTCAGTGTACACATCCTCATCAGGTAGACGCATACACTCCCACAGCCTGTGAGGCCAGAGATTATAAACATTATCATGAGCATCATACAGCATCAGACATTAACATAACATCAACCTACCTTTTAAAGATACCCAGGTGCAGTATGTGCGTCCAGGTGAGAGACTTCCTGCGTATGCGTCCGTCTGACAGGTACCACAGATAACTGAGCCACTGGGGACCCCAACCTGAGAAACACAGAATGATAAGCATCAATATCAATCAATCAATCACTGTATATAGCTCTCTGGTTATTATCTCACCAGGCAGGAGGAACAGGGCAGTGAAGCCGGCAAGATGGGCATAACAGTAGTTGTGACCCACCCACAGGTAGTACACAAAGCAGTAGATCACTGGGGACAGATGGAAAATACATGTATAAACAGGCTGTAAACACAGAAAAACACAAGACTGAGCTGTAACCTTTGCTGTCTGAGACATTTTCTGGTGCTACTGGAAAAATGTAATAAAGTCTGAGTCATGAAACACAGACACATTATAAATGCAGTGGTGAAATACCAAGCTTATGTACAATTTTGAGAGAACTGTACTTGAGTATTTCCATTCAGTGCTACTTTATACTTCTGCTTCACTATATTTCAGAGCAAAATAATGTGCTTTAGTTACTTCTCAGATTAAGATTTTGGCATTATAAAATATGCATATTTACAAATTAAACTAACAATTTACTGTAGAAAGTAATAAAAAAAAAACATAAAAATCCCTACAACATTAAAATGATCTTTGTCTTTATGCCACGGTAATAATAATCAAATAAATACGACAGGCATGTATTTTTACTTTTGACTTAAGGTTTACATCCTTCTTTAAATAAGGATTTCAATACAAGGCTTTTACACTTTTTTCCTCTTATTCAGTGATGTCCACTTTTACTTGAATGAAGGATGTGAATACTTCCTTTGGTTATAACCTTAACTGGACAAACCTCACATGCACACACAAAGCAGATCATTACAAAACAGTGTCACAAATTACAGGCCAGTTTTACTGCAGTGCATGCACCATTTCTAAGAGAATGTGGTCAGAGGATGGCTGCCACAACATATAATGCTGTATGTTGTATTTAGTGAGTGTACACTGTCATCCCATTTAAGGTTTGACAACAAGGAAGCTGATGTGTCCTCTCTTCACTGTGAGGCTCTGCAGCCCTGCCTCCCTCCTTCCATCTCTCCTCTCATGTAATCTGAACTGTTTTGATGCTGAAGAGGGCGGCTGCCCGGGCGGACTAGGCCCCATCCCGGGGTACGCCCATCCCGTCCTCTATCCATGCACCTCCAAAAAAAGGGCGCTGAAACATGACAACATGGCCCTGTTTTGCTTTTTATTCAGGAAATATCACCCAGACACTAAAATGATGCAGTTGTTTGGACGATGAAAACTCTTGCATGAGTCTGCAGTTTTGCTGCATACCGGGTTCCATAACATGCAGGTATAAAAAATAGGACAGAGGTTCATTAATGCTGACTGCACCCTGACTCCACTATTCATGACACAACAAGACACACAAGTGAAAGGAAATGTTCAGCTGCAGTTAGAGTAAAATTTTAAACACCTAAAACCGTCTGTCTCGTCCACAATGTGGGACTGTCTTTCCTGTCCTGACGCTGCATCCCTCACACACCGCACATCTACAAACTGGCCAAAGCGTGACAACACGCCGATAAAGTCAAATAACACTGGACAGGAACGCGCACAGGTAACGAGCATCACACTTCAGACAACCAACACAACGTTTTATGTGTGTGCAGGGTGTGTACGTGAGTGAGTGTGTGTGTGTGTCCGTCCCAGGTAGGCCTCACGCGCCGTCCTCTCTGCAACGAGGAGAAATGCGGTAAAGAAGAAGACGCAAACTTGGCAGCACAGCATGCAGGAGCCTCCGTGGCTCGGAGTCGCCGTGTAGTCTCTCATAGCGGGGCTCAAATGGACACGCTGCCTCTCAGGAGGACGGAGACAACAGGGTGCCGGTCTGTAGGCCGCTGCTGTTCTGGTCCCGGTCGGAGTCGATCCCGCTGCTGCAGCCCGCTCTCTCAGCTCCGCGTGCCCGTATCAACGTCACCGCCCGTCCCGTTAAAGCGATAGGACCGGTGATGTAGGTGAACACCGGGCAAAGAGTCGACAGCCAAGATAGTCTTATTCATTTTGTTGTCAGACAGTGACTGGAGCTACGATGTCCTTAACTGGTCCCAGCAGTTTGGTCCACAGGGCAAAGAATTTAACTAAGAGCTGAACAGGCCAAAATATCATTTCCCCTCTGCCTTAGAGTAATAGAAAGCAGCTATCTCTCATTAGTCCCAAAGATACTCAGAAGAATGAAATGACTTTAAACGCAGTTTGGAACCAGAAGGTAAACTTCATGTTTGAAAAATATCAGACTGCATCAGGATTCATGGAGCTGAGTGAATTTGTCTGAAGTCCCAAAACCTCTTACAGCTGTCTTGCTTTAATCTGTTCCTTTTCGGTGCACAAATGGTGCCTGAATACTGCAGTGACCAATCTAATGTTTGTTAACTTCATATATTAAAAATTAATGCAGCAGGTCTGACTTTTAAATGATGAGCTTTGGCGTGAAGACTGGAGGTGGTGAGTAGCAGCACTGTACCTAAAGTTAACTGTCCCCACATTGAATGGGTACAACATACCCCAAAAACTATTGAGAACATGAGGCACTATATTTGGTTTTAATAAGGAACTTTAGAGTTAATAAAATCCTGAAATTAAAGTTTATTAAATCTTTTAGCTCAGGAAGACAGCATGATCCTCTGAGACACGATGATGAGACATTATGGTCACTGCAGCTACTGTCCCTCCTGTTCCTGTGCATTCCGTTTATTTAGGGGTGAAAAATCACAGTAGTAAAAGCACCAGTATTTTGAAAATGATCATGACATGGAGCTAAAGTTAGTCTCTATTAAATTAACTTACATGTTCTTTTTTATTTACCTTCTGTTGTCTTTCATTTTACAGAGGTTCCAGTAGTCTCCCCGTGATTACAGCAGGTTTACCAACAAACAAAAGGTGAACTGAGCTTCACCAGTGTTTGATTCCATACACTCATCAGCAGCTGTAGCACCCACAGTGCTGCTTGTTCCTCCACATCTCTCAAAAGCACCAATTAAAAATGTGAAAAGATACAAAATCCCTTGTACGGTTTTCACCAAGAGTAACTTTCTGACCGTAGTTACACATTTTAGGAGAGTTTCACTCCACCTCTTTTCATTCTTTATAAATGTTCTTTACAAATTATGAGTGCAGTCCTGCTAATCCACCGTGAGTTTCAGGGCATGAGGACATTTTTCTTCCATAGAGCAGGGGTTTTCAGCTGACTGTGACCCAGGGACCACCACTGTGACTATAAGAAGCAGCCTGAGGACCACTGTTGTGTGGTGGATAGACCGGATGGGCGCTATTTTAATCTTGAAAGTCACCCTGGCTTTTCTAAATGTTATATATTTGCATGAATTTGATTATTCACTATAAAAACAACTATAATAAATACATAAAAATGTGTTTAATAAAATAAAACCAACAGTCATTCCAATAAGGAAACTACATAATTGAAACCACTTGCAATACCTTCACACACCATGAGGGGGACGCGGACCTCTGGTTGAAAACCCCTGCCATAGAGGCCTGAGTCATCACAACTTTGTTTGCACCTGGGGGAACTGCACAAGGCAGCACAGTACATAATAGTTTGGTGCAGTGTAAACTGTCTGATAATACTTGAAGCTATGAGCTGATGGTTTGTGCTCAGTTTATACAGTGCTGATTCATCAGTTTCCCTGGTAATTCATCCACCTGTCTGGCCGTGACTTTTTCTGTCAGTAATATCTGTTGAGGCTCTGAGTGATTGTACTGATGTCTGATTGTCTGTTCATCCAGATCTCTTGGAGAATCCTCTCCCGCTCCTCAAGTCTCTGGGTCCGGTCCAGCTCTGATAATAAACATACAAACACGCACAAATTAAGGTTAAACGCACACCCACAAGCTGTCCGTTCACATCACTGTTGACATCAGCATATGTGTGTGAATGTTTGTCAGTCGTTCTACAAGTGAGTGTTTGTTCAAATACATAAAAATTAAAACTGCACATAGTGAAGCTGCTGATTTTTACACCAGTCTTGTTCAAAGGCAGATTCTTTAAAACTGCTTCTCCCAAAGTCTCTTTCATAAAATATAAAGATTTAAAACTGTAACGTTTTGTTCTACTCACATATTGTACTTCTGAATGTTCAGCTCTGCTTGTGCTGAATTATTTTGGATAAAAGATCACTGCAGTAACTTAAAACATACCTAATCAAATATGGCAAAAATATATTGACTCCTGTGAACACAGTATCAGGCAGGTGGTCGTAATGTTACGGCTGATTGGTGTATATATAGTGCAAACAGTAAATGTTGAAGCTGATTACAGAAGAGTAATTGTGAGTAAATTTGTGTTAAACATTTTGATGACCGCAACTCTGTTTAACACTGGCCCCAATCACCCAAAACTACAACAAAAACGTACATTTTCCTCAGGTTTTCTTCCTCTGTCTAGTAGAAAATAGAAAATGTGTGAAAATCCAGATGAACTGGGGGTTATTTCTAAAATAAAAAAAAACTAATGTTAAATTTCTTGAAATCTTATTCAGCCCAATGGAAATTTAAGAAAATGCAGGAACCACTGATTAATCTGCTGATTATTTTCTTGATTATTTGATTTATATTTTTATTCACAGGATGTCAAACACTGGGGAAAATGCCTGTTTTGACTTTCCAGAGTCAAAGGTGGCATCTTCAAATGTCTTGTTTTGTCCAACCAACAGACCCAGTTTATTCTCATGCCTGACAAAAAAAAAGCCTCAGCTCCTTACATTAAAGAAGATGAAACCACAAAATGTTGGTACAAAATTGTTGCCAGTTAATTTTCTATCAGTGAACTGACTCATGGTTGCAGCTCTAGGTGACTGAATGGCTTCATGAGAATGACAAAGTGTTGGAGACAATCAAGGAATGTGTTTTGTTTCCTCCCACCAACAGAGGAGACCTGAAGCTGCTCTGCAGACACCACTAAAACATCTTTGTTGGTCCTTTTGTGTTAGTTTCTCATTTCATTTGTCACCCATCAGTATATATGAAGTGATTTATATTTGACTTTTGTCTCTCACTAATATGGATCACAGTGCAGATATGTCTGTGGGAGGTACCCTCAGCTGATGTGAACATGGTGGCATGGAGCAGAGCTCTCTCAAAGTGTCTGCGTCGTCGTGCTGATAGATCAGCCGGGTCATAGTCCTCTGTCTCACTGTCCCCAGCTCGCCCGGTTCCTGCAGCTGCAACAACAGCGGTGCTGTCTGGATTACCGTCACTGTGCTGATGGAGGGGACAGCTGTAATGTCGATGAGCCCTGTTCCTGTGGCGATGGTTACTGTTGCCGTAGTGGCAGTCTGCTCGACAGTGGATCTGGAAGACGATGGCGCAGAGTGTGACAAGAAGGCCAACACACACACCACCGAGAAACACTAGTGCTGTCCTCTCGGGCTGGTCTGAGAGAGAGAGAGGATGAATAAAGAATAATTAAATGAGTTTATGAGTTCAAATGGGGTCCACAGAGAGTTCCTTGGACTTCAGGACCTGTTTTTTGTCCTACATGTAGTGTAAATTATGGAACCTATACACAGGGGTGTGTCTTTCTAAGCTCTGTCTAATCAATTCAGTTTGCCACAGGTTGACTCCAGTCAGGGTTTAAACTCATTTCTAGGAAAACTAAAGCCAACAGAATGTACCTCACCACACTTTGCAGCCACAGCGAAGACTCTGAAGAGATTTCAGGTTTTGATTTTTAATAAGTTTGTGAAAATTTCTAAAAACATGTTTTTACTTATGGATTACAGAGTGTAGACTGATGGGCAAGATGACAGTTATATCTCTTTAAACCACAATAAAGTGATACTTTGTGAAGCTGTAAATCAGCAGCTGCTCCACCATCCTCTGCACTCAATTCAGTTTTTCTCTGCTCTCTCCACATTTGGTTTCAGATCCTGCCATCTGTCACCTGTCCACTAGTCTGGAGAGGTCCCACCCACACTACAGCCAGCTGTCTGCCCTGTTCATCCATCCATTCATGATCTATATCGCTTATTCTTGAACATGCAGGCACAGGGAGAATGTGCAAACTCTGCGCAGAAAGATGTCAGGTTGGCCTGGGCTCGAACCCAGAACCTTCTTGCTGTGAAGCAACAGCACTACTGCCCCTGTTCACCTCTCCAGAAACTTGTCTGACTGTTGCTGAGTTGCCATTTTCTTGTTTAATCCTGCTTCTTTCAAGTAAACTGTTGGCATTGGCTCCACACCTTGGTTTTCTAGTATTGGTGACAATAATAATCTTTTGTCTGCTTCAAATCACAAATATTAGTTGCAAACATAATAATTATGAACACTCTTTGAGCGGGGCTGTGAGGGGAATGGGAAGATCAGTGTTATTTTACTTCCTTAAACCACAATACGCAAATAATGATGACTACAGTTTGATCACACACAGACACACATGGCGGTTTTTCTGACTAGACCTACCGGCTATAAAGGTGTAAGCAGCCAGGATGTTGCTGAGCATCGCCATCTCCTGGGACACCGCCTTCACCTCCATATTTGTGCTTCCTGCTGTTGGAACACATTTGATTTCACAGTGACTTGAGTTTATTATTCTCTCCTGCAGAGCTCAGTGGAGTTCACATCTCATGACTCCCCTAGATTGTGTGTATGAGGTGTGAAGGTGAGAGGACAGAAGACATGACAGAGAGATGGAAGCAGGCAGGAAGAAGGAAGAGGAGGGTGAAAGGGAAGAAGCAAAAAGAACAGGAGAAGGCTGAGTGGGAGAATAATGGAGAAGCACGAGTGACATATCACTATTTAAGTTTTTAAGTTTTAAAATGTATACTTACATAGAGATAACATTAACATTGTTATCTATGCCACACACTCCACATCTACATGTAGACTCAAACCCACAGAAAAGACAGCATCAAACATGAAACACTTAGATTTGTATTAGGACTAAGTTATTCAGCGTAGCTTGTTATAGTTTTGTGTAGATTTGGTTTGTTTATCTATGACTTTACCAAAGTCATTTTTAATTTTCATGGGTGGTGTGATATAGTTATTTCTCTTTTATAAAAATGCTGGACTCTATATAATAAGTAGAGAAAACATCCCCTTCTTTCATTGTTTCTATGCTTTTTTTCAGGACCCGTTTTTAATAGTTTTTTGTGTGTGCATGTGCGTGTGTAACTACTATTAACCGACCGTTATCTTTGTAAAGCATCTTTGGGTGTCTTTAAAACAGCTGTATGATTAAAATATATTGCTATTATTAGCATTGTCTCCAGATTCTATCTTTAACCACCAGGTGGCAGCAAACACACTGTATGTTGTGAATACAATGATCCAGAACGAGATGGAGCTCACTGTTTAACAGCTGAGTGTTGTTCTGTTGCTTTTACTCACTTTCTATTGCTCAGTAACTGTACACTCACAATCATTTGCTTTTCACTGGTGTGGCTCAGACATGGTGATTTCAAATGAGACAATCTACAAGGTGAAGCGGCTGACTTCTGGCTTTAACTGCAGTGAACATGTAAGACTTGTGGGCTTTTTGGATATGTACAAAAAGAGGCTACATGTTGTGCATGTAAACACCCTCAAATTACATTATCAAGATGGTTTCTGCACCCATTAATACTTTGCTTAGAAATATCCAGTCTTCACCAAGGCCTAAAATATTAAGTACCTTGTCCAGCTCTCAATTAAACATACTGAGCTGAAAATTTAGACACTGAGCTAAAATGCAAACATCTGCTGTGGGCAACAGGGACAAATACACACCATCATCCAGGTTTCACATACTGTACTATAGCACATAGGTGTCGTTAGACCCCTTTTACTGGGCCGTTCCCGTTAGGGGTCGCCACAGCGAATCATCTGTTTCCACCTAACTCTATCCTCGGCATCCTCTACTCTTACCCTAATTAACTTCATGTCCTCTTTTAGCACATCCATATATCTCCTCTTTGGCCTTCCTCTTGACCTCTTGCCTGGCAGCTCCATCTCCAACATCCTTCTACCAATATAACCACTATCCCTCCTCTTCACATGTCCAAACCATCTCAGTCACCACCTTGTCCCCAAAACAGCCGACCTGAGCTGTTGCTCTGATGTGCTCATTCCTAATCCTGTCCATCCTGGTCACTCCTAAAGAGAACCTCAACATCCTCATCTTTGCTACCTCCATCTCTGCCTCTTGTCTTTTCCTCACTGCTACAGTCTCTAACCCATACAGCATAGCTGGTCTCACTACTGTCTTGTACACCTTTCCTTTGATTCTTGCTGACACTCTTTTGTTTTAGCATGTTTATAATCTGAAAACATGGAAACATTTTGTTCTACATAAAATTCTGTTAGTTTAATTATCCTGTAACATTTATCCATGGACTCTTGAATTGTTTCATTAACTCTTGGGCCACAACCAACCTGCTCTGTCTTGTTTCAGGGTTACTCGTTCACTCATGGCAAAGACATAGCCAGTCTAGTTGTGATTAGGTAAGAGATGTCAGGCCATAGCTATAAATGGACTAATGAACCGATGTGTGTTTTAGGGGAAATTGAGTGGACTTATTGACCACTTAACTATTCTGGTGCACAGTGTCTGAGCCCGAAAAAACCAACTGCACACTATCACAGTGACTTGTTAAGCCAGAGAATGTGAATGATGTTGTCTGGTCTCTTGGCTGGTATTGATGTTGATTTGAGTTCAGCAG